TGCCATGGGAAAAGATTTTGCTGCTTTTGAGCTGGGGCTCTCCCGGCTCCTGTTGAAGGGAGAAAGGCAGTCCCTCATGTTGCTGCGTCTTCGTGTTGGGGTTTTTTTATTTCCAGGGCTGTGGCCTTGGGCAGGGCTGTAGCATGAGGCTTGGTGGGGTGCAGTGCTGGGTGCCAGCACCCATCCGTGCACACCCTTGTGTACCTGGAGGTTGGTGGTGTGATGGCCGATCTCCTCCTGTGTCATGTTTGCGGGGTCCTGGGAAGTCCGAGGCTCTCATTGATTTGTGGATTAACGGTAGAGGATTCATTAATTCATTAGTTAAAGCACTGCAGCCCAGCTCGAGGCACTGGTCTGGGAGAGCTGAGAGCTGTTTGTGGTTTGAAGCGCTGCGGCGTTTCGGGCTGCGCTGGGTCGTTTGCCGAGGGAGTTGGATGCTTTCCCTTGATCACCCCGATTGCAGAGCACCACTGGGAAAGACCAACACGACTTCAGTGAGGACAAACAGTCCGGCTCGTAAAAGATAGCTGTGGTGAGTCAGAGATCTTCTGCCTACAACGAGACGAAAATTTGCCTGACAGGGGACGTGCAGGTCGGAGTGAGTTTGGGTGAATTTGTGCTCTTTGCCTTTGGAAAGAAGGAAGAGGTGAGTGATGCGGAAAGCCCCAGCCTGGACAAAGCGTCTGCTTCCAGCTTTACTCCTCCGGTGCCTCAGCTCCTCCGGTGCTTCAACTCCTCCTTGTGCTGGACTCTTGGACTCGGAGGAAAAATCTTAATCTTCAGCAAAGTCCTCGCTGCATCTGACTTCTCCTTAAGACATCACCGAACCAAGTCCCAGGTCCCACTGTTGGGTGAAAATACAGAAAGTGTGCTTTGCAATTAAGCATATAGCTTAATTGGATTGGAGGGATGACAGAAGAAACATTTCTACTGAATAATTCAGTATTTAGAGACGTCTTCACAGTGCGTGTCCTGCTCAGCTGTTCAGATCCTTATCTGGAGCGAGCTAAGCCAAGGATTTCATCATGAGTTAAATTATTCAGTATCATCGGCTGAATTTGGCCCCTTTAGGATAGCCAGAGCGTTAAATCCAGCAAGCTGCACCACGGGGCTCCTTGCAGCTCAGTTGGCTGCGGTGGCCACAGTGGCTCCTTTAGAGACCTGATGCCATCAGGGGGGCACCCATGCCAAAACCAGCCGCTCTGCTCCCCTGGCACCCGAGAGCCAGCGACCCCCCCAGCTGGGATGCCCGCAGCTCCATAGCGTTGTCTGTTGCCTGTCGGTAGAAGTTTCCAAAAAAGTTTTTTTGGAGCTTTTTAGGTGGTTTCCCAGAGTCTGCTCTAGCAGGTGACAACCTGAAACACTCGGTGAGATGGGTGCTGCTGCCGGGAGTATTAACGGTCGTGGCAAAGCAATGCACTGCGAGGCACAGCTGCCTGCAGGAGGGAGAAGCGATGTGAGATGACACAGGAGGGAGAAGCGACGTAAAGCAGGTCCCAGCTGCAGGACTTGAGCTGTCGGTCGGGTGAGACCCTGTCTGCCAGGGACAGGGTGGGACCCCGCAGCCTCCAGCCAGCACTGGGACTTGAGCAGGCTCCGAGGGGCTTTTGTCCCTGTCTTCAGTGCAAGTGCACAGAAACCCTTTCTCCCGTGGGACGGGAGAGCCTGCAGCGAGCTCATGTGTTTCTTCACGGCTTCGTGGAGGCTGGGATTGCAGGATCTGTCTAAAATGTGTGTTAAAAATCAGCTTATCTTCCAAATAAACTGTCGGAAATTCCAGTATCTCCAAGACGTGCTTGGAAGCGATTTATTCTTTTTGCTTTCGGTGTTTCCGTGACACTTTTCAGCATTATTTTTAATGACGCTGTGTTACCAGAGATCACTTTCGGTGGATAACACAATATTTATGGAGAAACCAACAGCTAAATCTGGTTATCGTTGACGTTGCTTATAAAATATACATAGCAATCAAGATACTGACCATGGCAGTAAATTGAAAATATATTGAAAACATAAAGCATTTTTTCAATTTATTAGTAATATAAAAAAATATTTGGGCATTTTTTTCCCCCTTGTTAAAAAGAAAGATATAGAAGCTGTTGTAAGGAAATCTGCAGTAGTGTTGGTCCAAATGCCGGCGTGGTGTGGAGGGTGAGTGGTGTGCTGGGGTTTATGGGCTTTCGCGTAGCAAGCAGCCTGCTCTGGGCACGCTACGGCAGCGCCTGGGGCACGGTCCCATCTGCCGAAGGGCTCGTGGAGGGAGCTCAGCCTGACGCCGATGCTGACTCAGCATTATCACTGACTGCTCTGGCCCTAGGGGGTCCTGGGAGCGGGTTTAGGAGCTACTGGAGGGCTGGTGGCTTTGCAGTGATGGCATTAAAATACGTGACTCTCCTCGGCTGGCTGCAGCTCCCGGTGCTGGGACAGGTCACCCCTCCTGTCCCCACAGCACAGTTTGGGCATGTTGTTGAAGGGTCAGCCCCGGCAACTGCTGGGTAAGTGTAAAAATATTAATAAGGCTGCCGCAGATCGCCCTAAAATGGGAATTTACGGCGGTAGTCAAAGCTAATGTTTTGGATCAATGCAACATCCCTTCTCAGAATGAAAAAATACATTAAACAGACCATCATACGGAGGGTATGTAACCAAATCAATCATATTTATTGCATTTAATCAAAACTTGATTCGGTTAAATTTATTCCATATGATAGCCGCGCGCTTTGCGTGATGCGCACCTAGCTGAGGCTGCTGGCGCGGCTCGGTGAGCTCTGCACTGGAGGGCTCAACCCTGGTGTCATTACACCTTAATAAGATTAGGGGTATTAATTTGCATACGATGCTCTAAGCAACAGGTGGGGCGGGGGTGTGTGTATATATACTCAGGGAAATGATCACAGGGGCTTTACTGCCGATGAATAATATGTATTTAATAACCAGTATAGTTCCTGCTCCCTCTGCACTGCCCTGTTTGCTTGCTGCTGGTGAGAAGCGCTGCTGCGTGCCGGCCTCGCACCGAACAGCCACCCGGCACGCGTGGTCTAGCAGGTAGGTGCAATGGGGCAAAACCTGCCGAAAACCCCAGTGGGACCTTCCCGTGCCAGTGCATGCCCCCTGCCCCATGCCATCCCTGCCCTGGCATGGCCTGAGCTGCTTTCAGGTCCACCGCTAATCGAATCCACCCATCCTGGGCAGAGATGTCCATGCCTTTGGGAAGGCTCTTGCCACCCTCCCGGAGGAGCAGGTCCTTGGGAGCAAGGGGTGCTTCACCTCCCCTGCCTGCCCGCACCCGCCGGTTCCCATCCTGGAAGGATTTGATCACACAAACCTTCCTTCTCCTTCTGGAAGTTAAATATTAGAATTCTTCCTAGCTGCATATATAATTTACTACATTAATCTTCCCTTAAAACATGCTCCTTCCACAAAGCCCCTCTGTATTGATCCAACAAAGACAATTATATATTATGGGGGGAGGGGGAAACAGCTGAAATATTTGAGATTGGCCCT